AAAAAAAAAAAAAAGTGTTCCACTTCTTTGCCAAAACAATAACGTCCATTTTCTGACCAGAATTGTTACTTGTGATGAAAAGTGCATGCTTTAGGATACATTAGACGTTCTGGACAATGGCTTGACAAAGGAGAAGCAGCAGAACATTTCCCAAAGTCCCCAACTTATAAAAAAAAGGCAATGGTTACTGTTATGGTATGTACGTTACGGCTTCTTAAATCCTAAAGAAACCATCAATGCCTAAGCATATTGTAACCAAATTAATGTAATGCATGCATATGGATTATCATTTTTTTAGACACTTGGACCACTACGTATGTGACAAATAATTTAATGGACAAAGGGAATTAGAAAATGCATTTTTGGAGTTTATCAATTCTAAAGATGGGAAATTCTATTCTGAGGGAATGGAAAAGTTGCCAACATGTTGGCAGAAATGTATTAATATTAGTGGAGACTATTTCGATTAAATAAAACAGTTGCAAATCCTTCGGTTTTCTTTTAAAACAAAAATCCTGCATTACTTTTCAGACAACCCAATATAATGTCTATTTACACTTAAGTTTATACCTCACAGGTCAGTGTAATAAAAATCAAAATTAACTTCTTATAATTATTTATTGTATGTTTCAGGGAATCTGTGTTCCCCTCCTCAGCAAGGGACACACTCCTTGCTGAGGAGAGGAACACAAATTCTATGAAACCTATAATAAATAATTATTTTTTTTTTCTTGTTTATTTAATGAAATTTACAACTGTATACAAATACAACAAGTAAATATGCGCAAATATAAATAATGGCATGTACAGGCTTGAAGAGTTACTACCCAGTGGTAGCACTCTCTAAATAATTTTAAGTAAGAAGATCACGAGGCCATCTCCTTTTCAGACGCCTAGGAGGATTATCAGGAATCGAGAAAGAAGCAAGAGTGGAAACAAGCGGATTTGGATGGGACTGAAGTTTATCATGAAAGGATAGATATCTGGCTCGAGCTAAATCAGCGACATATGGTACATTAAGGTCTTTATGAATGATTTTATTTGTGACAAAGTATGGAGCATTAAGGATTTTACGGAGGATTTTGGATTGTAAGGATTGGATACGATAGGAATTCGATGGTTTGGTGGAGCCCCAAAGCTCAACTCCGTATGTCCATATAGGTCTTATTATAGTTATGTAGATAAGTCTTTTGTAATTAATAGAAAGTTTGGAGCGTTTGTCTAGTAAGTGTTGGAGCAGTCGGAAACGTCGAGCAGTTTCTTGTCGTTTCAGTCTAGTATGAGGATTCCAAGTAAGACGTTTATCCAAATGGAGTCCTAAGTAGCGGATTTGCTCAACAGGAATAAGTGGAGTATTATTGAAAGTTACTGTAGGACAAGACGTCATAGGTTTACAACGGAGGGTAAAGGTGATTTGATGGGATTTGTTGGAATTTATTTTTATTCTCCAATTTTTACACCATTCTTCAAGTGGTACACCATTCTTACACCATACTTTGTGACAAAGTATGGAGCATTAAGGATTTTACGGAGGATTTTGGATTGTAAGGATTGGATACGATAGGAAATCGATGGTTTGGTGGAGCCCCAAAGCTCAACTCCGTATGTCCATATAGGTCTTATTATAGTTATGTAGATAAGTCTTTTGTAATTAATAGAAAGTTTGGAGCGTTTGTCTAGTAAGTGTTGGAGCAGTCGGAAACGTCGAGCAGTTTCTTGTCGTTTCAGTCTAGTATGAGGATTCCAAGTAAGACGTTTATCCAAATGGAGTCCTAATTAGCGGATTTGCTCAACAGGAATAAGTGGAGTATTATTGAAAGTTACTGTAGGACAAGACGTCATAGGTTTACAACGGAGGGTAAAGGTGATTTGATGGGATTTGTTGGAATTTATTTTTATTCTCCAATTTTTACACCATTCTTCAAGTGGTACACCATTCTTACACCATACTTTGTGACAAAGTATGGAGCATTAAGGATTTTACGGAGGATTTTGGATTGTAAGGATTGGATACGATAGGAATTCGATGGTTTGGTGGAGCCCCAAAGCTCAACTCCGTATGTCCATATAGGTCTTATTATAGTTATGTAGATAAGTCTTTTGTAATTAATAGAAAGTTTGGAGCGTTTGTCTAGTAAGTGTTGGAGCAGTCGGAAACGTCGAGCAGTTTCTTGTCGTTTCAGTCTAGTATGAGGATTCCAAGTAAGACGTTTATCCAAATGGAGTCCTAAGTAGCGGATTTGCTCAACAGGAATAAGTGGAGTATTATTGAAAGTTACTGTAGGACAAGACGTCATAGGTTTACGACGGAGGGTAAAGGTGATTTGATGGGATTTGTTGGAATTTATTTTTATTCTCCAATTTTTACACCATTCTTCAAGGCTTGTGATATGTGATTGAAGAGTTTGGGATGCAATTAAAGGATCGTTATTAACAGATAGCAAACATGTGTCATCGGCGTAAGTGGTGATGACAGTGTCAGGATGGGTTGGGATGTCAGCTGTATAAACTGTGTAGAGGATGGGACCGAGGATACTACCTTGTGGAACGCCTGCAGATTGAGCAAAGAGGGATGAGAAGACATTATTTTGGTTTACTTTGAAGTATCTATCAGTAAGATAGGAGCGGATAATGAGGAAGTATGTAGGGGTAGGACTTTTCGGAGTTTGTACAGAAGACCGGGTGCCAGACTCGATCAAACGCCTGTTCAACGTCGAGAAAGACTCCCGTTCAGTACATACCGCGCTCCAATGCAGAGGAGACTACATCAACCACACGGTGACATTGTTGGATAGTGGAATGCGATGTGCGGAATCCAAATTGGTGATCAGGGATAATATGATTAGAGTCTAGGATGGGATACAGGCGTTTTAGGATGAGTTTTTCCAGGATTTTGCCCATGATAGGTAACAGAGAAATAGGACGGTAAGAGAATGGGTGTTCAGGTGGTTTTTTAGGTTTGTGTAACATTTTGACAATAGATATTTTCCAAGAATCAGGGAAATATGTGGATCGGAGCACAGCATTGTATATGTAAGTGAGGAATAGGATGGCTTTCCGAGGAAGAAGTTTTAGGATCTGGGAAGTGATAAATAATTATAAGAAGTAAATTTTGATTTTTACTATACTGACCTGTGAGACATAAACTTAAGTTTAAATAGATATAATAATTTTATTCTAAAACAGTTTTCGTTGGATTAAAAAAAAAAAAAAAAAAAAACATACAATAATAATTTGACAATGTTGATTTTATAGATCTTTAAGGAACAACCACATTTCTCAATATGACAATAATCGATTTACACCTGTAAATATAAAATTAAATAAGAATTAAATTTAAAATTAATTTAGTCAGATTCATATTGTTACTAAGAGTGGAAATTATAAGTTTGATATTAACTATAACCATACTAATACACTTTACAATACTTTTTAGTAGTAAAAGGATTATTAAGAAGACAAAAACTCCAAGGATTCGCAACGAAGACAAATAAAAAAAGGGCTATGAAAAAAAGTAAAGTAAAAATACTGTTAATAATAGTAATATGAAGTTACTTTTTAATTTTTGTTTTTTTTTTTATAAAAAGTAGTTTTGTATTGAGTTTGTAGTTGATAGAAATCTCCATGGGAAAAACTTTCTCTGTATGAAATAGGAAAGCAACTAAAAATAAGCCATTCTGTTGTAAAGAAAGGGGTAGATGTGCAAGGGTTTGGTGAAGTATGTAGTCAAAACAGTAGACAATAGGTTTCCTTCACAGTTTTTTTTAAATATTGACATAGAATCTTATGTTAAAAGTTAGGTTAGGAAAGCAACTCGATTTTCCTTTGACCCAAAGCATACAGCTAAAGTTCTAAATAATGGTTTCTCTTTATAGCACCATGATAGTTTAACACGCCTCTCATTAAATCAATACCCTGTCGAGCATTTGTGAAGTGGTATTAAGAGGAATATATGAGAACGTAAAATTCAGATTACAAATTATTTTAAAAATATAACTTTATTCATGATACTGTAAAAATGTTGAATATTCTGTGCCTTAAATAATTATTACTGTGATAGCAGCATAGAGGAAGATATAAAACATATTTTTTCAATCATTAATATTTGTGTTTTCCTATCAGAGATATTTATTTTAGCTAAACTACAGAATTCATTGATAGCAATGTTATTAAACTAAGCATACTTTAAATAAGCTTCATTGTTTCTTAATTTCTTATAGAGTTAATTTTCAGAAGTACGTAGAATTTTTCTTCCAATTATATATCCAGAAAATACTCAGATAAAACAATAAATACACAATTGGACATAAGATAACACATTTTAAACATATTGTGCAAATAAAAATAAATTATGAAAAAATGAATAAATAACATAATTTTTATTATATATTTTTTTTATGTTACATTAAAAGTTATAAACCCCAACTACATAATTATCATTTTGTAAATTTAAGAATATAATTATTATTAATATTTTCGTGAAGGACCAGTCTACTGCTCTTTTTCACCTTCCTGTGGAGAGTAGATGGAGACTAACTGAATCTTGTGACACACTCCCTGGCAAGTTCTGGAGTACTCCTGGATTGATTTGACTCAATAGCTTCCTGCAGAACCTCATCAATATCCATTAAGTCATCCGGAGATGTATAATATAGATTTTGAAAAAACAAAATTGTCAAAACTGTGGTTTCGTTCGGTTTATTTTATGTTGATAAAAAATAATTCAACTGAAATATAGAATACATGTAAATTAAAGTTATAAAATTTGAGCAACCAGCCGCAATGCTATAGCAATTGGTTTCTTTATTATTTGTACCTGCATTAAGATATTATCAGATATTAAATTGGTTGCAAAGTGTTTCAATAAGTTGAATATTAATAAGAGAATATTGTTGTGATAAATGAAGACAGTATTTTTGTAGTGGAAGGGTCTTTGACGTTGAAATAACAATTAGTAATAGCGATTAGATTCTACTCAGGAATATTCGTCAGTAAGAACCATGGCTACGCTGGTCACCTCCGTCAATTCCTCAAGGACACTTAGAAGAATGTTCCAAAAGATATTCCTAATTTCAACGTTATATGGGATCTTCCCTTTTGTTTTTACCGACAACGATCTCGTCCTTTCTTTCATGTTTCTTCCTTGGAGTATTTTATATGTGATTTTTTCCGTTTCCTCCATGATTTATTTTTGTATTTTTCAGTTCGACTATTGTATCATCCCTTCTTAATAATTACTCAACAATTTTTAGTTTTTTCATTCCCTACATTCTGCCTATGCTTCTTCCTACTGTTTCTATATTTTGGCTATGGATAAATTTGAAGAAGTTCAGTAAGCTATTTAAGAGATTGAAGGAAGTGGAAGATTTAATTAATAAGTATGATCTATTGACAAGTGGCAAATACCACATCGTTTTGTTTGCTATTATCACCCCATTGTTCATTATCGAATTTATCAAGATCGCAATTCCTAGAATTGTTGTTATTTCGCTCTACTTCATGATGACGAATGTTTACCTAATCTTGATACAGTTCACTAGCATCTTGGCTACAGTCAGCAGCTTTTATTCCTTTTTGGAAAAATCTCTCAACGACTCCACCGCCTTAAAGTGGGTCCGATGTCACGAAGTTTTGGGAACTTGCTGTGAAATCGTCAACAGATGTTACTCCCCGCAGCTGCTCATTTTCATCTTGTCTAACTTCAGTTATATAACAAGTACCATTTACCTTATCATCACTGATTGGGACTATTACACACAGGACGACCAGAAGATATCTCTGCTATGGTTACTGATCTCATCTCTCACTGTATGGGTAGTAGTTTTTCATTGCCATGAGACAGTCCAAAAGGTGGGTTTATTTCATGATTTAAATTACTTATCTCAAGGATTTTAAATAATTAATACAACAGTTTTGTTAACGTTTACAGCGTTTATTTCTTCTATAAATTATTTCAATTAATAATTTTGTTTTGTTCTATTTTCAATAAATGTTTCATGTTTAAATATTTTAAAAAAAGAAATAGAAATCAAATCAAATGTTTTAATTAGTAATGTACAATTCAATTATAGTTTGTATGCTCGATTGTTGTGGGCAGCATTATAGTAATTAGAGAGTGTATTGTAGTCTACAATTAATTAGTTTATGAACTATTAGTATTGACGTTTTCGGAATTCTCACAAGCAATAGATGACTCCTTTTTCTTCTTTCAGGCAAAGAGTTTCGACAAAGCGTTATCTAGATTAGTGCTAAACGATAACACAAACCGATTGTTACGAAATGTGAGTATTGAGAAAAGTAAGCACAAATAAGGGCTAAACTTCTAATTCTTTTATCTCTGAATTTACAACAAATATCATGATGTAGATTCCAAGTTTTCTATCTATTTAATTGTCTTCTTTAAATATAATTTATTAAAAAATTATAACACTAGTTGCGGCATATTCCCCGCCTAAGATACCCATTTCCGAATCCCAAATAATTTCCTTTCTGAATTCCTTAGGACACCACTTCCTCCTAGGTGCAGATCTAAATGCAAAACACCAGCAATGGGGAGCCAGACCCACAAATTCCCGAGGGCGAACATTGCTATCTGCACTTAATTCCCATCGCAGCAACATACTTTCACCTAATACTCCCTCATACTGGGCAACAGATCCCAACCGCAATCCCGACCTCCTAGACTTTTTCCTACACAAAGGTCTGGGATCACTACACTGTTCCATTTCAAGGCTTGATGATCATTCCTCAGGCCATAGTCCTCTAGTCATAAACGTTTCCACATCTTCCATTCCTAAATCATCATCACCTTCATTTATCAGGGGGCCAGGTAACTGGAACCTTTTCCGTCAAATACTGGAAGATAATATAGACCTCAGAGTTTTCTTAAAAACACCTGAAGAACTCGACGATGCAGTGCATTCCTTCACTACCCTGATCCAGCAAGCAGTTTGGACTGCATCCTCACCCGATCGTCCCAAAAAATACTATAAAATAAATCCTTTACCTCAAGACCTACTGGATCTTATCTACAGCAAACGTTGCTCTAGGACACTCTGGCAAAGAACCAGGCATCCTGATGACCGGAAATCGTATAATTATTATTCCAAACAGGTAAAAAAGAAACTGGATACCTTTAGAACCCAATCCTACAATTCCTACCTCTCCTCATCATCCGCTAGTGATAACTCCCTCTGGAATGTAACTAAAAAAATCCTTAAATTCCAGTCCATTTCCCACCCACTTCGCCGTGATTATGGTTCCTGGGCTTCGTCAGATGGGAATAGAGTTGAAGAGTTTGCTAAACATCTATCCTCATCCCGAACTCTATCACAACCACACTGATGAAGTTAACGAATTCCTCTCTTCACCAATTCCTCTCTCTCTACCTCCAAAACCTGTTAAACCCTCTGAAGTTAAATTCCTTATAAACAAATCAAAACACCGAAAATCCCCTGGATATAATCTCTTCACTTCACAAATCCTCCGACAACTTCCCAAAAAATCAATCATATTCCTTACCTATCTATACAACTGCATACAACCTTCGTATAACCAACTTTCCTTTCGTGTGGAAACACTCCATAATCATCCTGTTCCCAAAACCAGGTAAACCTATTAATAACACATCCTCCTATAGATCGATAAGCTTACTCCTGATCATCTCAAAAATCTTTGAGAAAATCCTTCTCAAACGCATCCTACAACATCCCTTCTCATCAGCTTGGATTCCGCTAAAGACATTCCACTATCCAACAAGGCATTCGTGTTGTGGACCATATTTCCTCTGCACTTGAAAACAAGCAATATTGCACAGGTGCCTTTCTGGACGTAGCGCAAGCTTTCGACCGGGTGTGGCATGATGGCTTGCTTTTCAAGCTCAAAACCCATTTACCCCAATCCTTATACCTGGTACTCAAATCCTACCTCTCAAATCGTTCCTTTCAAGTCCGTTGTGGCACCGAATTCTCCACTTACTATCGAGTTGAGGCTGGGGTTCCACAAGGCAGTGTCTTGGGCCCAGTTCTCTACATCCTCTTCACTGCCGATATCCCTTCAAATCCCGATACCTTCCTAGCTACATTTGCTGATGATACTGCCATTCTATCCTCTCACTCAGATCCTCAAATAGCATCTCTAAACCTACAATCTCACCTCTCTTTGATTGAGCAGTGGTGCAACAACTGGCGCATCAAAATCAATGAATCAAAATGCAAACATATCACTTTCACCCTGCGACGCAGATCCTGTCAGCCAATCCTTTTTAATTCAATACCACTTCCCTACACAGACACAGTCCGTTACCTTGGCTTCCTTCTAGACAAAAGACTAACTTAGAATCCACATACCAGACTTAAAAGACAAGAACTTAACCGACGATATGGCAGGAACTCTAAGCAGGAAATCTCATCTTTCGATTGAAAATAAACTTTTAATCTACAAGACCATACTGAAACCTATCTGGACCTACGGACTTGAACTGTGGGGAACTGTTAAACATTCGAATATCAAACGCATCCAATCCTTGCAATCCAAAGTACTTAGAACAATAGTCAATGCCCCATATTATGTCACAAATAAGAAAGACCTTACACCATGACCTTAACATCCCATTTGTCCTCGACATCATCCCATCCAGATTCTCAAACTTTCACCAGAACCTTATCCATCATCCAAATCCTCTAGCTCAATCCCTATCCAGCTCCCTTCATCCCTATAATCTTCCTCGAAGGTTAAAACGGCAGTGGCCCAGAGATCTCTTGTAAATATGCTTCTGGAGTCCTGGCAATGGCCAGTTTCTCCAGTCATGTCCTGAGTGTCTGCGGCTCTAGTGCCCTCTTTCAGTCTCCACTGGCTTCTAATACTAGTGATGCGGCTGGAAAAGTGGCACTGGGATCTTCTGGAGTCTTGCTTTGCCTTCCACGTGTGGGGGGAAAAAGCCTGGCTCGGAGATTCCTGGGCGAATGTATATATTGTAAATAAGTGTGATTGTGTTTAGAAGTTTTTATTTTATTTTTTATTTATTTTTTTATACTTCTCATATTATTATTTACTTTTATATTTATATTTATTTCTTTATTTGTATATATTGTATGGATGAGAACTTTTAGCCCTAATACTTATAGCCCTCTAGCAGTGCCTGATTGTATTATTATTCAATAAATAATTAGATTATATAAAAAAAAGGATAAAAGAATTAATTATGAATATTTATATGATTTATGTATTATTTATTATTCACATTGTAATGAATAATAAATTATCACTACTATAAAAATTCTATTAAATTTAAATCTAAAGATACCGTTTTTAGCACATTTAATTGTTAAATACACTTCCTCTTAGAATATGGATACATTTTCTCTTGGAAACATTTAGTTCAATTAGAAAAATGTTAAATGATTTGTCGTGTCAAAAAAAAAAAAAAAGATTTTATAATGCTTTAGACAAACTAAAATCATATTTTATTATAATTATAAATAACCTTATTTTTTTTGTTTATAGAAGAAAATAATCTATCACTTCAAACCTAAGCGTGAAGTCGAGTTTTTAGCAATGGGATTTTTGAGCTTCGATTATCCTCTGCTCTTCAGAGTGAGTAATTTATAATAAATAAATATATATATGTATATATATATATGTATATATATATATATAAATATATATATATATATATATATATATATATATATATATATATATATATATATATATATATATATACATATATATATATATATATATATATATATATATATATATATATATATATATATACAATAATTTCATATTGCTAATATACAACCGGAAATATGTTACCGAAATATTAACAAAATCAGTCACAATATATAAAAATTTTTGTTGCAGATGATATCAACAGCGACCACTTATATTGCGATAATGGTTCAATTTACACCAAAAGATAAACTTAAGTGAATGATATGGATAATCAAATTAAAAAAATTGTGATCAGGAAAGGGCTGATAATAGACAAAAAAAAAATTCAATATATTTTTAAAGTAGATTAAATTTTCTACAATTTGAGACCAGAAGTAAAAAAAGTAAACTAAATATATTTTGAACTATTCAAAATATGACAAATTTTTCAAACGCATACATAACTGGTCTTTCGATTGAAGATAGGAGGTGGTGGAAGGATACTAAAAAGTTGTTAAAGCACCGAGAGCTGTCAGCACCTCTCCGAAAAGAAGATGGATCCTGGGCAGTGTCGGATGAGAAAAAATCTGAACTCTTCGCTCACCACCCTCCTTCTGCATTTAAACCGTTTACAAATTTCACTAACACAGAACATGAGATTCTAGTACTTAACACATTTCAGATGTACACAAGATAACCCATTTCAGCTGACACTACCACCTCCTTGTTTTGCTCCATCTCAGGTTGCACTTCAAATCAAATAATCACCGAAAAGAAACACTTCTGGTTATGACTTAATAACAGCCGAAGCACTCCAACAAATGCCTCTAGCTCTAGTATTTCTGACAAAAATTTACAACTGTATACTAAGGACTACAAAATTCCCTTTACGATGGAAATATCACTCATTACGATGATTCACAAGCCTGGTAAAGACATATACAGTCCTTCATCCCACAGACCCATTAGCCTTCTTCCTATATGCTCCAAAGGTTTTGAGAAATTAATATACAAAAGACTTTTCGACATATTGACTGACCGACATATAATACCTTGACCACCAATTCGGCTTTCGCACATTCCATTCGACGACACATCAATTGCACAGAGGTAGAGACTACATTGTTGGAGTTTTAGTTCAAAAACTATATGCAACTGGAGTATTTTTGGATGTTTTACAGAGTTTTTCACATGTTTGCACATTTTACATAAGTTCCTGACACAGGCGTGCATCAGACCTCCACATTTTTGGATGTTGCTCAAGTCTGGCAGAGATAGAGTGCAGTTGGGGCAGATGGTCGTCCCTTGGCACCGTTCCTCGGAGTGGTGGAATTTGCAGCACTTGGTGCACCGGCGAATCTTCCAATATATACTGTACAATGTTTAATCCTATCTAGTTATTGTAAACAAGACATAATACAATATATAAAGGATTACTGGGGAAATAAAGTTAATCATTTGCAAGCAACCGATTGAGTTATTTCGCATTCCTTTTCCTTTTTTTTTTTTTATTATTTCTTGTCCGAACGATCATAAGTGGTGTCGAAACCCGGGACATTTAGATTCAGCCGGGAAGATAGTCTCTCTCTCTCTCTCTCTCTCTCTCTCTCTCTCTCTCTCTCTCTCTCTCTCTCTCAGTGTTCAAGTCACTAGAAATAACAAAAAGAAAGGATGCCAAACAGAATAGGACAACCGTCGGTGCAGGCTACACCACGTGCCACGCAGACAACTGCACCTCCGTCTGCTCCATTGGCTCCACCACTGGCGTTTTTCATACGCTGTCAGAAGCATTAGCCACAGATTTTCTTCTCCTTCCAACTGAAACGTCAGTATCGGCACATGTGACTACGTTGGAATGATTGAAGGTGAGAACCGCTATGTCGCAGAATCTTAGGAGAACGATATCCGATTTAGAGAGATTTGATGGCTGAGTGGGTGAGCTGAATCTCTTCTTAAAGGGAGGTTATCGTGTGATATCGCGTATACAGGCTAAAGAAGAGGAAAATTTGATAGATCCGACGGATGCTAAGGCATTGAGAGCAGCTTTGGTGTGTCGGGTTAAGAGGAGCGTGTCGAACATGATACAGGCGGATAAAGACATCTTGTGGAACATTGTGAAGCCCCCTCAAAAATTAAATCCTGGATCCATTAGTGGTCTTGGGTTCAGTATAATGTGAAGAAGTACTGTTACAAGGCTAACGGTTGTGCAGAGAGGTTATTGGCCAATATCACGCTCAACCGCCAGGTTCTCCCCCTTAATTAATTATTTAATTAAGAGCATCCACTTTATAGAAGCTGGGTGTACCCCAGAAAGGTCTCCTGGCCCCAGGATCCGATCCACGGCTGGTTAAAAATGACTAGTCGTCAGCCGGATTCTAATCTTGGATCTTGAGCTCCGGAAGTCAGTGTTCACCCACTGAGCTACCCCGCTCCTTCGATAGCTGTTGTGAAGCCAACGTGGAACCGAAGAAGTCATTCGGAGAGGGCCGTTGGGTTCCAGAGAAAACATCCTGCAGATGTTTCGAGAAGAGAAACAGCCCCATATGAGGAATGGACCGTATGCGGCAAACCTATTAGCATGGTTTAATAGCACAACTGAGAAGACGAGGGAAGTAGCCAGTTCGGTTAAACGGGGGCCAGGATGACGTTCCTGTCGACCATACTTAAAATACTGCTGGGTAGAGACACAGGAAAGACTTTTGTGGAATGTTCCCAGGATATGATCGACGCAAGTGCTCGAGATGAGAAAGCAGCTCGGGGCGAAGACGAAAACGAATATGGGTTGAGCAGGGTGGCACATAGGAGAGCAGAAACGGGGAGGTTCAGAGCTAGATCGGAGATGTGGAGGAAGTGAGGAGGAAAATTCAGTACAAGAGCAAGGACGGCAAAGAGAGAGAAAATACCGGGCAAAGCGAGAGTAAGATGGACAAAAGAGGACAGAAGATGCCACGGATGTGGAAAGGTAGTACCACTACCAATTCACCTGGTAGCGAATTGTCCACGAACCCGATGTTTTGAATGCGGAAACGAAGAACATATTGCAAGACAGTTTCCCTATATGACTAGACGAGGAGAAATATGGCAAGACGAGCCAATGGGGATGAACGCACAAAGATTGTGGAGAAGGAGAGCATCAAAGTCAGACGAGTCCTCGGGGACATCCGGAACAGGAGAAGATAAAACGGTGGTGAAAGGAGATCAATGAGAGAGAATCAGCTGGAGGGGCGGAGAAAGAGGAGCAGCGGCAGAGAGAAGAGGAAAACGGAAGAATGAGGTGAGTGGCAGAGGAGCGGCAACCACGCATTAATGACTTTTGTATTAGTAACTTGAAGGAATCATAGGCGAGAGTTACTCGGTGGAAGCAGTTTCTGAGCCAATACAATATAGAGGTCAGTTACAAGCCAGGTAAAGAAAACGCTGTAGCAGACTGGTTGTCCAGAGCAATAACCATAAATTCCATAGAGGAGGAAGAAGAGGAACCATGTGGACAGCACATCACCGTACAACAGTCACTTATGGGCAGTTAGGAAAAAGTCGGCAACGGGGGAGAAGAAGTATAGGGTGGTAGTGGACTTCCGGAAACTCAACGAAAACAGGTTGAGGCATTTTGAATTAAAATTCTCAGCCGAAAAATCGAGCCTAGGGCAGGACGAAATAAATTTCTTGAGAAACTCGATTTCGAGAGAGGGGTCAGACCCGACAAACAAACAGTAGAGGCAATCCATAACATGGCGATGCCCAGATATGTTAAAGGGATCCATGGATTATTAGGAACATTAAATTATTATCGTCAGAGATGGTGGAGTACCTAGCACCCCTCAACAATCTGCTGAAGAAAGGCCGAAAGTTAATAATAACACCAGCAATAGAGGACAACGTTAGGAAGTGTATGGCACCGTTGCAAGATAAAACGGTACTTGCTTTGCCAGACTTTGAGAAACCGTTCATTATTACAACGAATGTGAGCGAATATGCTTGGCGGGAAACAAGGGCGAACAGCTAGAAGCATACGCAAGTAGATGGCTCACGGAGGCAGAGAAGAGGTATATCGCTATGAAAAGGGAACTATTGGGCATAGTATGGGCGGTAGGACATTTTAGACCATATATTTTTGCTGGAAATTCAAGGTCAAATTCAACGACTAGTACAGTGGGTAGGTAACTTGAAGGAATCATAGGCGAGAGTTACTCGGTGGAAGCAGTTTCTGAGCCAATACAATATGGAAGTCAGTTACAAGCCAGGTAAAGAAAACGTTGTAGCAGACTGGTTGTCCAGAGCAATAACCATAAACTCCATAGAGGAGGAAGAAGAGGAACGATCGCAGAACGTACGGAAGTTTCTTAGAGCGTGGACACCAGAGGGAGAAGGTGAACGTGAGAACGCGGGAACATACGAATCCGGATCAGCTTAGAGCTCAGTCGAAGAGAGGCCAACAGAATGTGACGAAATACCCAATGATAAGCGACGACAGGTAATTTGGAAGACAAGAACGTCGGGGCTTATGAAAATCGACTATAGTAAATACGGTAAGAATAGGATCACCACGATTTGGTCGCAACCAGGGGCGAAAGAAGAGCATGTGTGGAGAATGCCACAATATGGGGCAAGATTAAGAAGATTTGGAGATCCGAAAAATTGACATATAAGTTTATCCGATGTAATGTATATATGTATGATAATAAGCCGAAAATTCCACCCCAACAGGATCTGCTTAGAAAGAAAATCGTAACAATAACCCCAATTAATGACGAACAGACGGAAATAGACCAGCTAGCGCAAACAGAGATTTCTTCTCCCTTTCAAAAGTATTAAGCTCCTGAAAAATCTCAAATTAAGGGTGTGGAATGCAATTATAAGCCAGTTCTAATATATGGGGCGAAACCTGGACACTAACCAGTATCTTACAAAAAAGTGTTGAACGATTTGAGAAAAAAAAATTCGGAGCGATTTGGGATCAGTGTACTAGTACTTGCAGAAGAAGACCAATAAAAAACTGCTTACTGAAACTAGTCAATCAATATCCCATGATATGAACGCACGAAAGTTAAGATGGGCGGGGCAATCTATCTGGAAGACTATGTAACAATGAATGCCTTAGTAGGCAGAAGACAACGTGAAAGACCAAAAAGCAGTCGTAGAGATAAAATCAACAAAGATGCGATTGAGCTGCGTGCAGATAAACGGAAAGAGATAGCGCAAGACAGGCAGAGATGGAGCAGGCTTGTTAAGGCGGTAAAAGATCTACTTGATCTGTGATCCCAACAGAAAAAAAAAAACCT